CATTCACTGTCCACCTGTGGCTTTACTCCCAAGTCAACCCCTGTTCTTTAGTTGTTCCCTTTGTCTGGCAACTGTGCACATGTGTACATCGGAAACACGCTTCAGCTGTTCTTCTGCCCCACTGATATCTAACTCTGAAGGCAGCTGATAACTGTCAGAGGGCCCTGGCCCCCTCTCTGCCTCCGACACAGAGCCCTCATCCGAGCCTTCCCCAGATTCCAGGACTGGCCCATGTTCCTCCCCAACCTCCTCACTGCCCGAATCTGCTGCCAGCTCTGCTGGCTGCTGGCGGGCCATAACACCAAACAATATTTGTGGAAAATAAGAGGTATGGAAGAAAGAGATTTGGGGAAGGAGAGGAGATGGATAGAAAGATAAGAAATCAAATAGAGGTATCTAGGTTCTTAGGGAGGTAATTTCATGTTATCAGTTATGTTTTTTGGGCTCTGTTAGCTGCAGGTGGTGTGGTATAAAACTAGTTTACGGTTAACATGCAAATGGTCTTTTTGGCAGGCAGCATAGCCAACCAGCTATTGCACCCGGTGATGTTCGAGAAATGCCTTCAAACCTTGTCCAAATGTTGGCCGGAGGAGTTAGATTTGCCCAGGAAAAGGAAAAAAAAACAGAGCAAAAACTTGATGGGCGAGAGAAAGAAAGGGAAGCCAGCAAGAAATGAAAACGCCCCGGTAAAAAAAAATAATTAACATTTTAATATTCCTTATCAAAAGCATTCTATTTTGTCTGTTTTCCCGCTGCTTGGTTCATTCATTCTTTTGGTGTTTTCCAGCGTTCAGTAGAGCAGTTGAAGGCCAGGCCTTCTAGATCGGGGGGGAGGGGGGGTCAAACTCCATTTCATTGAGGGCCGCATGGGGGATGAGTGTGACCTGGGTGGGTGTGGTGAGCTCGATGTAACTCGTGTTGAGGGCACTTGTGGTGGCCAAGTGCTAAGGCAGAACTTTCCTCCGAACCTCTAATAATCTTCCTTTCCCTTCCTTTCCTTCCTTTCCTTTTCATTTCCCTTTCTCTTCCTTTTCATTTCCCTTTCCCTTCATTTCCTTCCCCTTCCTTTTACCTTCCCTTCCTTTTCCTTCCTTTTCATTTCCCTTCCCCTTCCTTTTACCTTCCCTTCCTTTTCCTTTCCTCTTTATTCTTTTCTTCTTCCTTCCCCATTTTCCTTATTTTTCCTCCCTCGCTCTCTTCCCATCTTCCCTTTTTCTTCCCTCTCTCCCTTTCTCCCTTCTTGCCTACTCGAATGCAAAAGGGGAAACATTTCTCTCTTTTTTTTTAGTTTGGTTTGCTACCCCTCTGCCAGCGGAAACGGAGCTCTGTTTTTGCGGGCAGAGCCACCGTGGGCCAGTCGTTTGCTGTTTCCATGCCAGCCCTGCGGTCCTGCACTGGAATATCAGGAAGCTGCAATTTCTGAATCTTGCTTAACTGATCTGTGGTCCTTTTCCTGCCATTCTAGATGGATGACATCTTTGAAGAGGAAGACGTTCAAGAAGAGATTTACTTCTCCACCCGGGAGCTGCTTGAAATCCGCGAAGCCCTCTTCCTCCTGCTGAAAAACCTCCTGAGGCTGTTTTCCAAGTTTTCCCTGAAGGAGAGGCCCCAGTGCGTTCAGACCTGTATTCAGGTGACTGTTATCTCTTCGCTAAAGTGGCAGGATGCCCCCTATGCACTAGTACGGCTGGTCCCCGACATACGACCAAAATTGGGATCAGGATTTCCATTCCTGAGCAAGGTGGTTGTTAAGGGTAGACCTGATTTTAGGACCTCGCTGTCAGGGTTCCCACAGATGCCCTAATTAAATCATGAGCCTCAAGCCAAACTTCAAAAGAAATCCAGTTATTTATTAGGCGCTTCGTGCCAGCATGTCACAAGTGAAGCCAACTCTGACCCTTGTTTTCCCCCCTTCCCCAAGATGTGTCATCACTCACATTCTCCAAAGAAGCAATTTTGTAGGTTGTTAGAGATCACTCCACTCCGGGCACTGTGGGTAACCCTGGAAATGGCCTTGATAGAGATATGGCTGGAATGTGCTTTCATTTTGACCGCTGTGCTGCCTCGCCGCAGCTGCAGACTTCGTTCTCCCATTCCCCCTTGCCTATGGCAACTCGAGAGCAGGCCAAGGATGCTCTGTGAACTGACACTCTTTTGCCACGCTCTCTTAAGCAAATCACTGCTGTTGTTAAGCGAATCGAGAAGTTGTTAAGTGAACCTGGCTTCCCCACTCACTTTGCTTGGGACTGGGGAGGACACCAATGGTGATCACCTGACCCCAGGATGCCGCAACCGTTGTAAATACCTGTTGCCAAACACCTGAATTTTTATCACATGCCAGCAGGGAGGCCAATCATGGTGAACGAGTGGGGGGGGGGGCGAAGTGCATGCACAAGGCGCAGGCGTGTATTGCATTATGGGGCGGGCACGCGTATACACTGTGGCATGCGCATGCGTTTTTGGCGCACGATGACAAAAAGGTTAGCCATTTCTGTCCTATAATATTTTTCATGATAAGGGAGCATCAGTGTGACAATTTCCCGCTTCTGTTTGACAATAGAAATTGAACGAATGAATGAATCAAATTCTGCTCTGCTCTGTTCTGTTATTCTGTTATAAATAAAAAGGTATTTTGGCTTCTTTTCTCACAGATCTTCGTTAAGCTGACGAGTCTGGAGCCCTGCACGCTGGACTTCAAGCCTTTGGACGTGACGTGAGTTTTTGCTCTGGAATCTCAAGGTGGCATTGTGGGTTTGTGGAGCCTAATGGGTGTTGAGGGCATGGAATCGAGCGCAACGAAACGTTCTTTCCCTGAAGATCGTAGACTTGACTCTGCAAACATTTACTCTGCATCACGAAATAGACCCAACAGAGAACTTTTCCTTTGGCTGCAGGACTATTTCCAGAGCCAAGTATGTCTCGGAGCTTGCCTACTTCGGCCTGCGGCTGCTGTGTTCCCCACTTCATAGCCCAGGAGACAAGGTAAAGGCCGTATTCATCAAACATATTGTTCTTTCTTGGATTCTAAATGCATGGATCTATAAAAGGATCCTTTCTGTGGAAGTGGCCAAGGGCTGGCCAGCTGTCTCTTAACAGGTGATGATTCTTCTCCTCCTCCTTCTCCTTCCTCTTTCTCCTCTTCTTCTTCCCCTTCTCCCTCTCCTTCCTCTCCTTCCTCTCCTTCATCCTCCTCTTCTTCTCCTTCCTCCTCTTCCTCCTTTTCCTTCCTCTCCTTCATCTTCTCCTCCTTTTCCTTCTCCTTCCTCTTTCTCCTCTTCTTCTCCTTCCTCTTTCTCCTCCTCTTCTTCTCCCTCTCCTTCCTCTCCTTCCTCCTCCTCTTCTCCTTCTTCCTCTTTTCCTCCTCCTCCTCCTCTTCTATTCCTCCTTTTCCTTCTCCTTCCTCTCCTTCCTCCTCCTCTTCTCCTTCTCCCTCTCCCTCTTCCTCTCCTCCTCCTCCTCCTCCTTTTCCTTCCTCTCCTCCTCCTTCTTTTCCTTCTTCCTCTTTTTCCTCTTCCCCCTTTTTTCTTCTTCCTCTTCCTCTTCTTCTTCCCATTCTTCTTCCCCCTCCCCTACTTCTACTTCTCCTCCTCCTTCCTCCTCCTCCTCCTCCAGATCAGATTTCAATTGGCAGGATGAAGTCACCTTCTTGGCTTTATTATTGACCAAAAATAACTAATTATTGGTAGTAGCTGACATGCCACCAAATGGGCCAGGCTCTGCGTGTCTCTCCATTTGAGCATATAGGTCTTACACTTTGGTGCTTCAACTCTCAACTAGGGTCCTCCTAGTAGCATAAAGGAGGTTGGATTGCAATAGCAATCTTATCTGCCGGCTAATCCTTCCCACACTAGATGAAACCTGGGAACCTGGGTGCTGATTTAAAAGCAAGTTATCATTGCCTGAAAGGAGACCCAGTAGAGATAAACCTACTAAATCTGAAGAGAGTTTGATTTTGGACCTCCTGCCCTCCATTTATTTCCGCCCCCCCCCCCCCAAATCTGAAGAAGGTGATTTGAATACCACCAATTTCATTCTATTGATTTTGTACCATTACAATAAAGACTNGGGGCAAAGGGAACCAGGATTCATTCCCTTCCCACCGTCACGCCAAACTAGCCAGGATTTAGTCCATCTTACCAATTTGCCCAATGAATTCCACCTTGATGCCTTGGTGTTCCAGGCGTTTGTTGGGGTGCTTGAGGGTTAAGACGACCCTCCCGGACACCGTCTCGCCGTCATAAAAAAGGAAATATTTCTCCTTCTTGCCTTCCTCTGTCTTATGTTCCGCTCGGCGCCTGCTCTCGGCATCGCTCAGGACCAGTTCCAATTCAGCGCTCTGTCCAAAGCCGAAGAAGCTCATCTCGGAGGCCTGGGAGGAGGGACCGGGCACCCCCCCTCTTTCCAAGAAGCTCCAACAGGACCCAGGCCCAAGCCAGGGAAAGCGTGGGGGCTGCCTTAGAGATGCCCAAGGCTGAGAAAGATGCTGAACCCACCTTAGAAGCAACCTGGCCTTTGCTGGACCATCAAGCCATAGATGGGGATGCTGAGCAAAGGGGATGCAGGATGGGGGATGCAGGTGACGAAGCTTTTACTGCTGGGAAAGGCTCAGGGCCAGAAGGGACCCCCGCCGGCCGATGGAGCCAAGGCAGACCCGAACATAAGGGAGCCTAAAAAGGGGGGGAACACAAGGGGGACCCCCAGATGCAGATGCCAGCTGCCAAGGAGAGGGAGGCGCCCGGGAGCAGGAGCTGCGGCCCAGGGAGTCAAGGCAAGGCGGGTGGGCGTGCGAGGGGAAGAAGGCTCAGCTTGCAAGCCTGGAGGAAGAAGGTGCAAAGCCGGGGTGGGGGGGAAAGGGGGCTCCCCGGGAAAAGCGTGCAACGGAGAGGCATGCAAAAGAAGCAGCCGGGAAAAAGAAGCAGGAGATCCGGGCTCCCTCTCCCCCTTTTTTTTTGCACGTCTTCCAAAGACGCTGCTGGAAGGGGATGCTTTGCACGGCGGAGCAAGGGGAAATGGGTGTTGCACGGGGGCGTTGCTGCTCCTTGCCAGGAAGGCCGCAAAGCAGAGGGGTCCAAAATGCAAGGTGCCGCTTCGTCCCCAGCAGCCGGGCCGGCTTCCTTCCAAGCGGTGACAGCAGGCCGTCGCTGCGGCAGCCGCACGCCGCCGCCTCCCTCTTCCTCCTCCGCTTGGGCTGCGCCGGCTTTGCAAAGGCTTTGCAAGAGAGCTCGCGCCGCGTCCCGGACTTAGGGATCGGGCACCACGCATGCGCCAGTCCCGGAGGGGAGGAGGAAAAAAAGGAAAAGTGGGAGGCGGCTGTTCGAGTAGCACCTCGCCACGGCGCATGCGTGCTTCCCGCCTCGGGACTCGGCCGCCCGGAAACGCCCCTTCTTGGACCTCTTTCTCGTCGCGCAGGCGCGCCGCGCGCGAGGTGGCCGTCCCGGCGTCCCCAGGCCGGTGAGGATTGGCTGGCGGGCGGTGAGCGCGGTGATTGGTCGGTTCGAAGCTGCGGCGGTGGATGGAGCCGCGCGCGATGGCGGCGAGGGAGCGCTTGGAGGACGCGGTGGATCGCTGGGGGTTCCGGGACGTCGACCGAGGTGAGCTTTGGGGGTGGGCGGGGGAAAGGGAGAATTCGAGCTTCTGGGGTGGGAGGCGTGGGGAAAAAAATCGCTTCCAATGATTGGCAGGGGGTGGGACGTTGCTCTTCCGTGGATGGGGGACCACCAGGCGATCACAGAGCGGGAATTAGCTCCGAGATGGGAGCCCACAAGGAGATAATATAGCCTTTATTGTCATTGTACAAAATAAATACAACGAAATTGGTTAACTGACATCACAGGGCAGGAAGGAGCCTGCCAGTTCTGGACTCAGATTATTAGCCCCAGGATGGGGGACCATCAAGAGATCACATTGAGGGAGCCTTCCGATTCTGGACTCAGAGTCTTGGCCTCGGGATGGGGGACCACCAGGAGATCAATCCTGGCAGCAGAGACGAGAAAAAGGGGCGGCCAACCACTTCCAAACAACTTCAACAGTCACAAACCTGCCTGGTGGGTTGACAATCTGAGTATTCGAAGACCAATTTGCAGAAGATACAAGTAGTCCTCGGTTTGCAACAGCTCATTTAGCAACCGAAGTTACAACAGCACTGAAAAAAGTGGCTTATGACCGTTTTTCACACTTAAGGACTGTTGCAGCATCCCCATGGTCACGTAATGAAAATTCAGTTGCTTGGCTACTGACTCATATTTATGACAGTTCCAGCATCCTGGAGTCATGTGATCTGCTTTTTGTAACCTTCCAACAAACAAAATCAATGGGGAAGCCCGATTCACTTAACCAGGTTATTAATTTAATGCCTACAGTGATTCACTTAACAACTTCGGGGTCTTTCTTTCTGAAAATGACAGGCTTTAGACTTCTCAGGATACAGGAAAAGTTTATTTGGCAGCCAGGTTC